CCGTAATCATATCTACATGTTAGTGCTTATATTGCAAAGGATGATGCAGTTTCATCTATCAAAGATTCAAAATAGATTTTTTTTTAAATCGACCAACTAAATTAGTTTAACTTTACTACATTTTATTATGAGATAAATCATGTATCGGATGATTAACACTGTTCTGTTGGCTTATGCTGGTAGGAAAATGCTCGTCAAAGAAGACTGATCTTAAGTGTTAAAGGTAAGCATACCTTCGTCAGCATGATGGTGAAGTATTACCAATAATATACAAAAAAACATGTTATTTTTCACTATTTATGATAAAGATCTGATCAGTCTCATCAATGTGATGCATTGCATCTTACTCTAAGTCATAGATTTTTTGTTGTTTTTCGAAATGGAAAATTTCCCAATTTCTACTAAACTGAATTTGTGGCACTTTCAACTTTCAATGCAAGTTGCAATCCAATTGTTGCTATTTATAGGCTTCTGCTTGAGCAATTTGTTTAGATTTGAGTTTTATGGTTGGGATTTTCTTTAGTAGTTGAGGTTCTGCAGCAGGATCCTCTGTACATTAAGTGCACCTCTAGCCTGATCCTGTGATGCAGCACTGAACGCACCAATTGATCACATCAATCTAGAGCAAATTAGAAACAATGCAGCTTCTAAATACAGTACATTATTGAACCAGTTGTTGTAACTTCATCTTGCTCTTCCTGCTCTTCCACAACAGGTTCCTGGCAAAGCCGAAGTTTGTAAGCGCTTCAGTGCAGAGGCAGAGAGAATGGGCTGTTTGTGAATGAAAGCTAAGGTTAGCTGTATGTTCAGCTAGAGGCTTGTTCCCTGGTGAGAGCACTGATACCATTTCTTAATCAAAGTGATGCTGGAGTTGTCTTTCCCACAGCGGAAGGACCTGAATGCAGACTTAAGAGACTTTTAGTCTTTCAATCAGTAACTTTGTATTTTCATGTCCGACACTGACAATCATGGGACAAAGACTCAATTCTTCTGGTTAACAGGATTATTTCATGTCAGCCAACTTCCCATCCTGAGTTTGCTGGCTGTCCACCTTTCTAACAATCTCTTACAGTACCACACGCTTCTTGGCACCACCTAAAAAATTGATGCGAAGGCACTTGATCCAGAATGGCAGAGGCTTTGATTTATAGATAGGTGCTAAGAGTAGAGCTGTCCAGTTTAAATCATATTTCTCTTTTTTTTTGCCACTGTACTTAAGAATAATAGTAGCACTGTGGAAAGATAAAAATAAATAATAAATCAATAACTAGCAAAAAACAAACACAAAATAGAGACAACTGCATTTTAGAGATCCTTACAGCAGAGGTTTGGTAAGAATCAAATATTCAATATTAATATTAAGATTATCACATAAACTAATGCAACTACATATAGGGATAATCATGCATTAATATGAAGGATTCAAACAGCTTTATAAACTAACAACCATAAGTGTCTTTAGTCTGAATTAAATATAACCCTTTCTATAAAATATGCAGTGAACTTATTTTTGTCAGAATTTTGAAAGTTTAATTTGGACTATGCAGTTTGAGAGTTTAACAAGATACCTTTTGCTCAATTGGCCTTTATTAAAGATTTATGCAATCCTATGTATCCACTTGTGCTTCTAAGACTAAAAGTCTTAAAAGGATAGTTCGGTATTTTTGACATGAATCTGTATGGCATCCCGATCACCAGCGGCATGCAATCACACTGACTTACCCCTGGCAGCGTCCTGTGAGCAGAGTTATCGTCCAGTTTTGGTCAAGCCGAAAGTAGTCCTGCAGGTTTTTAGGAACAGCGAAATAAAACTTTTCTCTTCCCAAAACATTATGTGTCCAAAAGAGTGATATTTTCGCATCCCAAAAACATTGTAGTGGAAAAAGTCACACGTCGTTATCAATTGGTCCTATTTTCTCTCTGTTCGTATCAGTGCACGCCGTCATTCAGACAGCGAGCCCAACAACAGCCATGTCTCCCTCCGCCGCGGAGGGAGACTTTTGGGAAGAGAAAAGTTTTATTTCGCTGTTCCTAAAAACCTGCAGGACTACTTTCGGCTTGACCAAAACTGGACGATAACTCTGCTCACAGGACGCTGCCAGGGGTAAGTCAGTGTGATTGCATGCCGCTGGTGATCGGGATGCCATACAGATTCATGTCAAAAATACCGAACTATCCCTTTAAATGAATCCATCAGCTTTCTTCCCTCTGAAACATCTTGCTGTGTTCAGCTGAAAATTTTTTCCAACAACATAAAATAAGTTCTTTATCAAATTGTGCGCATCTAATTTAACTAGTTCGCCCTCTCACTCCACTGCAATCAACAGTGAGCATGGAGTCAAGAGGCAGTTAGAAATTAATATATATATAAAAAAAGTTCCAATTTAGTTTTTTTAAGATAAGAAGATAATAGATACATTTCAGACAAGTCAGGAAAAAAGCATGCTAAAAGCTTCTAAAGACATGGGAGGGGTGGGGGTCCAAAACATGCTGTGAGAGCTTCTCTAAAATTGCTGATCAATGGCCAAGTCAAATCAACTAGAAAAACTGATGCTAGGAATTGGTTTAGCAGCCAGAGGATGACCCCCATGCACTCCCACCCAGTAATAGAAGACTATGGATGCTGCAATCACGATTTTTCAGAAAAACAGAAAATCAAATAAATATCAACGTTAAATATATCAAATAATGTCAACTAAAAAGGAAACTTTCACAGTCAAATGCAGGCTGCATTTAAATAAACAATCATAAGTTACTAAATTAAGACTAGCTGAGAGGATGTTTAATTGTTTTGTGCATGTCCAAAATTGGAGCACTGTTATTTTTCTTCTGACCAAGTGGAATGATACTGCAGAAAATGGAAAAGACGAGGAGGAGCTTTAAACATTACGCTCACAGAGCTTCAATGGATCTGAGATCTGGGGAATGTGGCAGCCTCTTTAACACCTCAAATATGTTGACGTGAGGTGTTATCTTTATAAAAGGGCGTATAGCAATTTTAAATAGTGCTTCTGCGAGATAAATTGCAGTATACTTTAGTATCAGCTTATCAGAAGAACCTTTTACATATGCAGGAAATTTAGCAGTAGTATCCTGTCAATTGGATGACCCTCAAGGTTTTGTGTAGCTGATTCCCCCCTGCTCTTTATATCAAATACATACAATAATTGCTACTACGGCATACCCTACAAGACTTAACTACAGTTTTAAGAATATCCTACGCAGTTATCTAGTCATTAGAATTTGACCCATTGCAATCTTTGGTAACTTTTCAATTTTTTCAGCTAAAACATGAACTATGAATACGAAATGCATAGCTGGTTCAGCAACCTACCAGTAAGAGACAAAAATAAGACAAAAACAGTCGGAACAGTGGCCAGACAAATCAATGAAACTGAAAGAGATAAAGGCAGCCAGTGAAAATCTGGAAACAACAGTTGGAAAATAATTCAATTTGTCAGGCCAATATTCAGACCAATTACCTCCACCAAGGAGGTAATGTTTTCAGTGGCATTGATTTTTTATTTATCAAGATAACACAATAGGTAATGGGCAAATTGTAGTATTTTTATTTTACTTTCATTTTTTAAACCACAGGTGTGGCAGCACATATTAGAAACTGTCTTGGCTGGGATTTGGATCACGACTCAGATTAGGGTCGTTTTTAAAGAATTTCTTAACATTGTTACAAGGAGAAATGTGCTTCTTGGTGAAAATCCGTACTCTCCCATTCTTTTAAGCTGAAGACTCCTAGTCTGCCTGTTTTTAAAACGATCTTCAGGCTAATATTTTATGGCTAAAATAATTAGTGTTTTGTTGTCTTGTTTCCATGTGCATGTATGTTTTGACTCAAAAAATCGGCAGCACATATTAGGGTAGGTTAGACTGACCTGTATCATTTGATCATTACATCTGAATGTATGCAATGTTTGCTGTAACGTAAAGTGTCTATGTATTTTTTTATGTTCTATTCCTGGCTGAAATATACATTCCTCTAAATGGATAAAAATAAAATTATTTGGATATTCTGGTTATGAAAATGCTGCCTTGCTTCATAATGCAGTACGTCATACCTCATATGAGCCATGGTTAAGAGATTCTCAGTGTTTTAAATGCACTTCCCCCATCAATGGTCATTAATTCATGCCTGTTTGCTGTAAATACGTAAGCAGCTCTAGACATATAAAATATAAAATGTCAAGAATTTGCTTCTTCTTTTTTTAAATGAGTTTTTTGTAGAAACAGAATCAAATTGGATATGCACTTTAATCTCCTTTTTACAAAGCTTTGCTCTCTGCGGGTAATTCTTAGGTTTGTAGAGCAAATTGTGTGGAAATAATCACACATATAGAAGACATAAAGCTTTAAAAAAATGTATATCTTCCTAATTAAATGAAAACAAATTTTAAAGGACTGTGATATAAAGAGCAAAGAGGAAAAAAAGAGAGAGAGAGATAGTTTAGGATCTGCTCTTTATGCAACTAAACAATAATAGAGCATTTGAATACATCAGGGTCTTTGTAAACCACCAAACTCGACAACTGAAAACATGTTCCTGTTTAGTACAAGCTGTTCTTGGAATCATATTTCAGCATTATCCGCTTCAGCTGGTTGCTTGCGGGGATGCTTTTATTGCTTGTTTTGTTATTTTGTATCATTATTCTTAGATGGTATGTATTAAATTCGTAGAAAGACAAACAGATTTGAATTTCCAGCGCTGGCCACTTGTCAAACTGCAGGTGTTGTTTTTCTATGACAATTTCAATTAACTGTTAATTCTTATCACTACGATTCACACATTGTTATCACTAAGATATTTCTGAATGATATATATAATTAATATATAGCTGAAGCCAAAATAAGGTTGCAAGAAACCTTTATTCGAAATTAGTAATTGCATCGTTACTGTAGAAAAATACTTCCACACTTTTATGTAATACCAAAGCAATTTAAATGAAAATAAATTAAATTAAACTACAATCCAAATTTTCCTTCCTCACCTTGGCAACCCTGTTGGCAACCTCGCGACCCACCATTAGCCCCTGGACAAACGTCCGTGCAGCAATAAATGCTTTGGTGACCTGAGCCTTCAGTTTTCTGGGCACATCTCCAAAGGGCTTTAGCTGGTCTGTGTATTTGGTGACACATTCCAGGTAGTCGTCTGTAAAGTGATACTGGGAGTTGAGCAACTGGAACATGCGTTCCAACAGCCTGGACCAGAAGTCATTCAGCATCTCCTCCAAGTTGACGTTGCCCCCAGTGTAATAGCGCTTTAGTTCAGTGAAGAGGTCCTGGAACACCTCAGAGTTCTGCATATACAGCTTCCCGTATGTCTTTGTGAACATACTGTTGAGAGATTTTTCAGAGTTGTCCAGCAGCTCCAGGAAAAACTCTAGATGGGAGAAGGGTTTGGGAAAAGGGGGTAGAGACAGAAAAGGCATTTAACTTATCAATCAGATATTTACATCACCCATTTTCATGACAGACTTTTAAATAGAAGTATGAGTAGAAGCTACTAAAACTACCTTTCTTACCTATCATTTCACTTAATGGTGATTTTATGATCCCATCTGCATCTCTATAGTGGCAATTTAAAGCAGCCAAATATAGGTACTAGATTATGTGAAAGTCAGTTCAGAGCATTAATAATTTAATAGCTGAAATAATGGGCCACAAGAACCATGAATGATTAATGTACAGGTTCTGATTGCACACTGTAACAAAATATTCATAAGTTTTGGATGCAGACACTAGTATACATTATCCTTCCTGGGCACCGAACCATTGTTTCCAAATGGAATAGTTAAGCGCTGCACCACTTTTTTTTGTGACAGATCTTAATTGCTCAGAGAGACCAGTATGACATTTTATTGATATAGAAGTCAATTTGCTTTGTTTTAATCATTAGAGTGGCCAGAGGTTTAGACTTAATAAAATACTTTTAAGACATCCTTCCTTCTTCTGAAAATTGAATAGGTAAAACAGGACTTTGAATAAGACTTTTTGTCAAGAACCTTCTCAACAAGAACCCTAAAAATAAGATCTGGTAAATTTGTGGGGCAAACTCAATGCAGCACTGCTAAAACATTTCTTTGAGCATTGCACGTATTTGCGAAAGTCCTGTTAAAAAATGGAAAAATACCTAACTAAAATATGACATAAACAAACATAGCAAAATGTATCTAAGCATTTTTATGTTTAAAATGAGTACAAGCAACACATATGAACTGAGAACCTTCAAAACACCATATACAGGGGCTGTATATATATGTATATATATATATATATATATATATATATATATATATATATATATATATATATATATATATATATATATATATATATATATATGTGTGTGTGTGTGTGTGTGTGTGTGTGTGTTATATGGTCATGGTAACATGCTTTCTGCAAGCCTGTTCAAGTTTTATCTCTGATTTTTCAGTGGTCTTATTTCCATTTTTGTGTTCTAGTTATTTTTGATTGTATTTGAGTTCTTAGATATATCTTCTTTCACCTCTTATGTCAGTCTCCTTTTCCCCAGCTCCCTTCTTGCCTCTGTTCACACCTGCTCCTAATCTGCTAATTAGCTTGGTCTTTGTTTTTCTCTCCCATATATTCTCCTCCTGTTCTTTGCTGGTTTGTCATAATTTCTTTGTCCCTGTGTTTTAAGTATTTCTGGTTCTCTATTTTATTTGGATTCTGAGGATTTATGTTTTTAGATTTTTTCTTCTGTTACACTTTTGTTATTAAACCTTCAAGTAACCACCTTAAGCTTTTGTGTCTGCATTTGGGTCCTGTCAAACCTCCACCCCCACTTGACAGTGGCTGGTTTGTACTGTCTAAACTGTCTAAATAGTGGCAAGGCAACTTCTCAGTTTTTGTTAGCTCTTTGAAACATTTCTGTGCTCTGCTGCTTCATCTCCAGTGAGGTAAGAGCCCGTTTCCCAAACATTTGTGATGCCTCCTGCTAACATGATTAAAATGATCTAAAAAGAAAAATTAATAAAAAAAATATGTAATCCATTCCTCTGTAATACTGTCATATAAAAATGTTTACAAGGGTTTATGTATAGAAACAAGAAGAATAAGTCTTAAGCCCAGTTAAATAGATCTTAGCCGTTAAATTTGTTTTAATTGAACCAATGTGCCCTACTGTAGTTGTTTTTTGTCTACAAGAGGTTTTGCTATGCAGTTATAAAAAATCATGATGATCATGAATCAAGTGTTCCCTGCAAAACATAACCAAAAACATCACATTTGCCACTAATTTCCATTGTAATATCTGATACTAATCTAATTCTGAGTGCCTTTAAGCAACAAACATGCAAACATACAAAAATGCAGGTCATTGTAGGTACCTTGAGTGATCCATTGTTAGATCTAAAAAAATATCGCAATCAGTAAGATTCAGCAGAGAACTAATTGCATTTTCTGCTCTATGCCACAAAGCACAGTCACAGCCTCCACTTCTTACTAGCACCATCACCAAGGTTCTTAAGGTTTAACAACATCCTAGTCAAACTATATACTTTGTTTTTAAAAATGAATTGGGATCATTTATCCTAAATAACCTTAGATTTAGACATTAATATTGCTCAGGGATGACAATCCAATTCAAACACTAGCAAATATAACATTTCATTTCACATCTGCCTAAGTTGCTTTCTTCCATATGAGCACTTGCACTCTTGAGTATTAAATCAGCAAACAAAGAGAAAAATATGAAGGAAAAAAAAAGGGAATTAACAAGGGAGTCTCACTGAAGCCTGGCTAATAGGATCCCATGTTCCTAAGCACAATAGCGTAAATGTTGGGAAGATCATAACACATTTCTTGAAGCACAAAAGTCAAACATTCCCCCACCCCTCCTTGTAAACAAACATGCTGCAAATGTTCCACGTGCCAAGCTTGCTAATAAACCATCAGAGGAGCCTTCTCCTGGCTGCCTGGCGGATATTTCTTAGCTCTGTAAATAATGTCAGTCTTGAACTAAAATGTTGGAAATGTCTGATTTAATACATTGCACGATCAAAATATATATAAAAATAAATTAATTTAATATAGCATTGATTAGCTGTGATTTACTTAATTTCATTATGGCAGAATAATTTTTTTCTAATGTAAATTTCCCCTATTGGGCATTAATAAAGTGTCTGTCTGTCTGTATCTTTCTGATTAACAGCACACATCTAATCGTTTGTGTTTCTAAGCAAATTAACTAAATGATATTAGGTATTCAACAAAAGTGATAACCTTCAGATTTTTGTAAAAATGTTATTTTATCTATTTACCGGACAACGTAACATACAAAACTTTTATGCAATGTAAAATGGTTAGCGTACAGTTTTTATAGTAATTTAATTTTTGTCCCTCAAAATTTAATAAACAGCGGTTTAAACCACTGTTAACAAAAGTAAATAAAGCCCCAAGTGAAAATATCAGTTTGTGTCCAATGAGTCCATAATTTTTTGGGCCACCATATTTTGCCAGCAGTGGGTTAACTCTCCTAGGCATGGTTTTTACTAGCGCCTCACGAGTTACCCCTGAAATCTTCTTTTAACCCTACATGATGATATCACACAGATGATTGATATTAGAGACTTTGCAAATCTTTTTATTTATATTTGGTGTTAAATATGTGCTCCATCTGACAAAATGTGGTATTTAATTTTTTTTTTTTTAAGCAAGTGTGTTTGATTTTTTTGAGGAAATGTTTAAATGACCCACAAACCACATCAAAGGAAATAATCCAATGCTCTCTGCAAGCTTTGGTGCAAATAAGTCTAAATATTTAAGTGTGACTTTTCTTGTCATTTTCTATACAGCCATAAACACTAGGTTTGAATGACTAAGCATTATGTGTATGAAAGTGTAAAAAAAATTTATAAATAAATAAATATATATAAATATATATATATATATATATATATATATATATATATATATATATATATATATATATATATATATATATATATATAAATATATATATATTTATATATAAATATATATATTATTGTGGCCCCACACATTTAAATTTGACAAATCCAGCCTTCATTCACATGACTGTTAAGAATATGATAACATCAGCATATAAACATTCCTTTTGATCCCGTTTTATTTTGTCTCCCTTCTCTTTTCTCACAGCTGGATTAGTGTAACATGTCCCACACCTACAATTGCATAGGGACCATTCCCCAGTCATTGATACTCCTTTCTTTGCAGCTGAATGACCTGCCATTACACCAACATAGCTTTAAATATTAAGAGCCCGCAGGGCCTTTTCATTTCAATTTTTCAATTAGATCTGAATCAAGGACATGTAACCCGCTGTGTATTGCGAACGAAAAATTCCATCCTTGTTACTATGTAAATGGCTCTAAAGACAGGCATGAAACGTGATATCACATGGGCTCATTGGCTCTTGAAGGGTTTATGTGTAATGTGATGTTCTGTTAAAAATAAAGATTTTTTTTTCTATTTTGCTGAAAATAAAATATTAAAGAGAACAAGAGTTTGTGCATTTAAAGGATAATTGTGGTTTATCAACTGTTTTAAAACCAAAAATCTAGTATTAAAATGCAAAATCTGTAAAGGCAACCCTCTGCTGAAAGGGTTTTTTTGAGATTATAAATAGTTACTAACCAATGTCAAACTACACTGAATGGGCACTCAGTGTAAAAAAATATATTGTCTTATCTGCATCACTGTTTGGTATTTTTTTCCTTCTTGTTTTTGTTCAATGATATCTACCTGGAAAAAAAGACAGTGCTGATTGTTTCAAATAGTGGTTAAAGCCAACTAATGTTTAAAGATTTTGCTTTCTACAAGCCAAAGTTTGTTAGGGAATTATCACTGAGGAGTTTTGGCAATGGAGAACATTCAGCTCCTCAGCCTTCTGGGTGTTGATAGTTGGAAATGTCTCAATACAGGGCTTAAAACACTGATAATATATTAGAAACAATTATTCCCTGCCCTAAATCTCCTGGGAAAATAAAGATACACAAATCAAAAGTTGGAAATAGGGTAATTAAACTGTATTATATGAATAACACAGCTAAGGGTATTTGAATAAGAATTACTTTTGGACTTAGATTATGTGAAACAAACAACATTCTTTCTCTGCTAATCTGCCTCTAAGGGCACAAAGACAAAACAAAATGTCGGCTGGAAAACATCCTAGTCATGCAATTTTGATTTATCCAAACTGACAACTAAAAAGGACTCATAAGGCATTGCACTGAAAAGTTTTCACTTCTAACCCAATGCAAAAAGAAAATGCTTAATTATGAAATTAGCTTGATGCATGTATTATAGCACATAATCTCAGCACATAATGGTAGAAAAAAAGGGAAAGCAAATTGTTGTAGAAAAATACCTTAACCTTAA